ATACTCGTCGATCTAATCTAATCTAATCTGATCTAATCTAATCCAAACTCGAATCGATACCCCGAGATCAACATTGGTATTCTGAGTTGTCCAGCTCCCTCGGGAATAATTCTTCACACATGCAGCGTACGCACAGAGTATTAGCATCAGAATCTTAGCATCACATCACTTCACATCCACAAGTCCCCGAGTAGAATATGCGATATGTATGCAGCATACTTGGTAGATTGTGATGTATATGTATGTATGTAGATCTCATGTCGTAACTTGTAACTTGTCATTAAACTAACAATAACCGCATGTCGAGAAATCACATGCCCGCTCGATCTTCGATCTACTGCTGTACCTAGCATGCTGCTAGAATTTTGTGCACACTGTCGAAAAATTCTGCGTGTTTTATGTAGATAGATAGGAATGAATCGAGGTTTCTATGATGATTTTATATAGGCCAATGTAGCGTCTTTTCTACATAAATATGTGGGGGTGTCTACTTCTTGAATGCCCAAAGGTAGTGTTGCGAAGAAGAGAGATGAGATGAGATAGGATGATAGAATAATAACTTTACTTTACTAACATATCGGGTAAAGAGCCTCCTTTCCAATATATTGTAACACATGTGTATGCTGGGTTATAGATCCTGATGAAAAATCTTACCCGTCCTTCGGAAGGATGGATTCCTTCCTCATGGGGGTAGGTGGGATGAAGTTCCGGAAGAACTGTGCCACTTACTTGCTTTATTGATAACGATTTGGTTATCAGTGATCACAACGTATGATATAATCCATGAGATTACCCAAGAGGGAAGAACTTCGATCGACAATGCTTCTCAATATCATAAGCAAAAACAATTTTCTCCTGTTCCCCCAAAATTGTGGTTCGCTGTACGAAATACCCCGCATCCAAAACCCAAACTGATCACTCTCGCATGACTAGTCAGATTTTTTTGTTTGGGCGAACCATGGCAAATACCATCATAATGGACAATTTGAGGCCATCTAATGGGCCAGTTTCGGTAATTCCTTATAGGTGTGGCACAAAAGAAAAGGGCAGCTGCAGAGGATGCATAAGATCTGGTCGCCTTTTTCCTTCGGTGAGACATGTGGGAGACCGAGAACGTGGCACTGATTGGAGTGGTCGTGAAGCACAAAAACCTGCTCAAAGGAAAAAATCATTCGCTTTTCATCAAAACTTCGATCATCGATGTGTGAAGATGATTTTTCCCAACCCTCTCAGACCTTAGCTTTCCGAGAAAAAGCGACACAGCCCAAGAAATTGGGCAAACCAAGACAAATTTGATTGATCTTCTTCACTTCGTAAATTCGTACACTTGATAACGAGTCACAGGAAAGTAATAAATATAGCATCCATCCAAGAAAAAAACACAAATGGTAAACTGCCACACTTGCAAGCCTTGCATGACCGTTGTCATACGTACGTACGGCGGAACCGAAGATAGGTGGAGAGATATCAATTTGCCCTGATTTCCGCCATATGTCACGATGAATGAAAATAGATAAGTCTCGATCGTTTTATTTTGCCCCATAACTTTATCGGCCTCGTGTCTTTCTTAGACATACGGAGTATACGAAACAATCATGGCTCAGATGAAACGTAAAACGTATACATTTCCATACAAGATGGGCCGTATGAAAGTTTGATGGAGTAAAAGATAGGCATATCAATGACTGATAGGAAATCATTGGAGGAAAACTGGTGCGAAGTATGGAAAAAGCTGTAGGGCAGAAAAAATGGAGTAGATTGAGTGGAGTGACTGGTCTTGCATAAAAAGGCGCGTGAAAGGCTTTAGAGTGAAAAATGAACCAATAACCATTGTTTAGGATAACTGAATCACACTTTGGGTCAGCACAACCTTGAAGCAAAGCCTTCCTTTGGGATACTAATCAACTCAGCTTATGATGGATGTTGCTATTCGTATTGAGGCTGATTATCTTGGTACTCTTCGGTACATAGGTAGAAATGGTCATTGATTGGAGTAACTATTATTTTCAGACGATCCGCCTTGATGACAAAAATGACAAACAAGTAGGGTAGGATAGTAAGATGGATTGATCAAAATTCCATCGGGCATCGAATATTCTCTTGGAGACTTTTGCAGGGCAGAATTGAAAGTAACTGGCCGGGTCGCTTGGGTCGTTCATGATAAAGATTTGATAGAATCATTTACAGGATATAGTATACAAGTAGAACCTTTGCCATCCAGTCAATTCGATTGAAAATGGCGACTAAGGTTTGCAGGTTGCAGTTGAGGCTGTGTAACATCCCCGAGGGCGAATCGAAGGATAGAGGAATAGCAAAATTCATTCCAATAGAATTTTAATGGTTGATGGTTGATGTTTGGTGGTTGATGTTTGATGGTTGATGGTTGATGGTTGATAATTGCAGGATGGCGACAGGTTGAATAGTCGGTCCACTAGGCCTAGTTCTAGTTCTAGTCGTAGTCCTAGTCGTAGTCCTAGTCCTAGTCGTAGTCCTAGTCCTAGTCCTAGTCCTAGTCCTAGTCCTAGTCCTAGTCCTCGTCCTTGTCCACCGCCAAAGGAATTTATTTAATCGAGCTGTGCGAGCTGTGCGCGATGGGGATATAGGTGTAGGTGGAGGTGGAGGTGTAGACCGAAACCCGAGTCTCATGTAACCTGTTCGAAGGGTTCATGTGGATTCATATGGATTCCATATGGATTCAATATGGATCCATCTGGGAAAAACAGATGAGTAACAATCAGCGACCAATTTTGAGTTGTGCATCGGATCGTAGTAATCGTACAGCTAGCTGGTTACCTAGGTAGGTAAGCGATTGTGATATTGTATATGTCATCGTGCACGTCAAAACTGCCACGAAGGAATTGTCGGTGGATGGTGGTGGATGGTGGAGAGAATTAGATGGGAATCTTCGAAAAAGAATCGGTAAGAAGTTGGATTGGCAATCATTATGAGTGGTCGAGGTGGCTCAAAAGAGAACTCCGGATTGTACTACCGTGCTCTTGTTCAAACTGGGATAGATTGCTTTGGCAATGATTGTCCTTGATTTACTCGAGGATATGGGAAAGATATACCAACGACCTAGAAATGTATGTGATAATGTGACCGAGTGCGATGGTAATGTGATACATAGTCATGTTGGATCAAGATCAAACGATATACCTAAATGCAATAGTAGCTTTGGATCAATCTGAAAGAATATACCCAGTTGCGATAGTCGTGTTGGATCAATATCAAAACACACACCTACACTTACCTACCGACCTACCTAGATGTGATAATAGTCTCCGATCAACATCGGAAGATATACCCAGAAATGTACCTAGCCATGTGCCTAGATGTGAATCCATAATGTGATGAGTGCTTGGATAATGTTAGTTTATGCTTTGATTGATGTTGATTCATTGGTTAACGCTGGAGGTGCCCAGATGATATTCCGATGCTCTTATCCTATCGGAAAGCATCGCGCTGCTCTTCAACACAACATATCAAGGATGGATGAGAAAGATGGGAAACATGGGAAAGACGGAAAGACTGAAAGAGACGAAGGAGTACGAAGGAGTGAGAAGGTCCAACCTTTCTTAATGCCCCAACAATGCCCCGGTAGTCCTTTGAGAGAATGATTAGCTCTGGATTACTCGCTCGTGGATGCAACCTTTACTCTGATGGCTTACTCTGATGGCTTGATCTAGACATTTGGGGAAGGGGGTTGATTGGAAAGGAGAGATATCAATCTAGAGAATAATACTCGTAGAATATAGAAGAAGGATGAGTAAGAATTGAAACTTCCATGTAAGATTTAATCCACAGGGGTAAAATGGTAAAGAATGAAAAGAATTCTTGAATTTGCCTGTCTCGACTCTCGAATTCTCTCTCGACTAGTCTTGTCTTTCAACTCCCAAGTCTCTCCATCTATTCCTTAATTCCTTCATCCCAACACTATCTATCATGTTCCATTGATTCTTTCCCGTGCCTCTCGCCTCACGAGGTCTCCCTCTCTCTCTCTCTGCCTCACAGTCATATCGACCCAACCTCCACCAAGAATCATCAAAGCCTTTCCCGCTCAAAACCGCCCAGCCCTCGCCTTAATTAGGATTTGATTCCTGCCCCCATACATAATACACACATATCCAAGTACATATATAATACAATACATACTCCTAGCTCCTAGCTCCTAGCTCTTAGGTCCTGGGTACATACATACGACTATACTTGCCGCACGAAGCAATCATAAATCATAAACTTGATTTAACATCAAAAAGAAGAAGAAAATATCTCCACCGCTGGTTCCACCGTTCCACCGTTCCACTTTCTTGACTTCATCCATCTAATCACTCCACACTTTCGAAAATCCCATAATCATCAATTATCGAAAGGTACAGGAGAGGTATCCACGTTAGAATTACTTGGATTCAAGGGTGTTTGTCTCCAACTGTCTCGGAAGATTTTACCCCTCTATTTGTCAAATCACATCATCAATATCAATATCAAAAACGTCTAGAAGCATCAAAACCCAGAGAGAATCCCACTTAGGAACAACAACAACAACAATCTTTCTCCATATTCTTCTAGAAAAAAACCCATTGTTACCAATACAAATATCAGGAATTGATCAAGGATTATATTAATGCCAAATCATACATCAATTTCGAAACACCACGTTCTATACCACGTTCTGCACCACGTTATCGAATGTGTACATACGCTACTGTCATGTCATGTTAATATCTACCACCGGAATCGACCGTTTTTAATAACTTGATTGTTATTACTTTTTTCCCCAGAGATTTCTTTTGGATACTATACCTCCTCAACAGGTTTTGAATACACCTCATTCACATACCTATATTCATTCAACTATACTTATTGTCAATTCACTATATCGAATCTACATTGCCACCGTTTTGGTCTTGGATCATTCCACTATCAATACTATCCATACTATTCAGATACCCTCTACACCAAATCTACCTTACTTTTCGCAAGTAACTCAACCCATTTTCAAAATGCCAGACTACATGCGAAGATATACTACCGATCACAGTACGAGTAGTAGAGGTTCCCGTCAGAGTGATGAATCCTCTCGAGAATCTCATAGTACAGCACCAACTTCCATATACAACAGTCCTCGACCATCAATTCATCAATATCAACCCGAGAGACCTATCTATTACCACAAAGAGTCTATAGATTTATCTCCCAGCGACATGTCACCCATAGATTATCCTCGCTCATCCCAAGAAACATATGCATCCACATCTGCATCCCAAGAAGATCTCTATGATGAACCCGAAAGCTATGATCCAGAATATGACGTCCCGGAATATAAAACCGTGGTTAAAAGTAATCTGAGACCATCCACTGCTCATGATTTCGCCCGATATTTCCCTTCCACCAAACGTCTTTACATCCGTCATGATGATACTTCATATGATGGAAATATGAATCTTCGCGTCGACACCGAAGATGGTCATGGTCAAGATAAAGAAATCATCCAACTCTTTCATCTGCGCATGCACGATCTCAAGAATCGCGAATTCAGTCTCCGTCGCTACGAACGCTCAAGTGGTCGCGAAGTATGTCACTCGAGTCGCAAATACGCTAAACCCACTGAGAGAAGACCTTCTGTCTTGACCCGTTCCGTCAGTAGCGCCTTTGCAAGTATACGCAAACCCAGCATTTCTCGACAAAACTCGACAACTTCACCCACCAAGCCCATGGGAGGAGTTCAAAGACACGATAGCGGATACGCATCGAATTCCGAATCTGACTCTGATGTCGAAGCATTCATGGCTTCGAAAAAAGCAGCCGCCTCTTCCATCCCTACCAATACAACGAAACTTGAATTCTCAAATTATGCGCAAATCGAAGTTAAGCGTCGAGGCGCAAAATCGCAAAAGAGATATGAGTTTGAATATTGGGGATACTCATATTCATGGAAACGAGTAGTGGAGAAAGATGGCGAGGGAAAAGCAATTTCGTATCATTTGTTCAAAGGAGATTCTAGTAATGCAGTAGCGCATATCGTACCGGAATTGCGATCGAGAGATCAGATTCGAGAGGAGGAATTGGTGGGGGGTTGGGTCCCACCGTGTCAAATGTGGATTAGTGAGAAGAGTGTCTTGGAAAAGGTTACGGATGTTGCTGAGTAAGTTTTCTCCCTCCGATCAAATCACATCAAAACATCATAAATCTAACCCATAACCCTAGCGTCATTATCTCAACTGGCCTCATAGCCCTCGTCGACGATAGCATCAAGAGACACTTCCAACCTAAACCCACTTCTTCCCATTGCAATTCCCACTCCAACTCCTACACCACATCTACATCCCCACACATAACCACATCCACACCCCCTCATCCCCATTCCCAAGCCCTCTCTTCCCGCTCATCACCCCGCACCCTCCCTCTCCCTCCCCTCAACATGAATCTCGAATTCGTCGGTCCCCGCGCCATGGTCGAACACATGTTCAAGAGACGCAACTCGGGGGGCTCGAGTAAATCGAAAGAATACGAGGAGAAGAGAAAACATTCTCCATTGAGATATGCACAAGGTGCGGGGTTGGGAAGAGTGTAATGCAAGGAAAATATGATATCGACAGTTTTTATAAATACAGATGCAAATGCGAATACAGATTTGGGAATCACAGTACCGGCCCGGGGTTTAGGTTTCTGGGTGGGTTCTTGGGGTTTGGTTTGGTTTGGGGTTGTTTTCTATCCTTTGGTTTGGGAGGTGGGAATAGGGATTTGGATATGGATGTGGATGTATTGAACTTTTTTTTTATGATTTTTTTTCTTTCTCTAAATATTCTTTTCGTGGAGGATTTATGATTATGATTATGATGATTTGGTCTTGGATTGGTCTTGGATTGGAATGGAATGGATGGGATGGGATGGGATGGGATGAATAGGATACGAAAGGATGGAATCTCAAGAAACGGGAAAGGAAGAAACAAACTAGTGATGATGGGATGAATAGGATAGGATAGGATAGGATGGGGTGGGATACCTATCAGGTATATAGTACATATATGTATGAATGATAATATTCGATAAAGATAATAAATATCATAGGAATGAATGAATAATGAATAATATATGAATGATATTAAATTATTTATTTATTCATTTGCCTCTCCTTCAAATGATTCTCTCTTCTTAGTAATTATATCCTATCTCATCTTATTTTCAGTCGATTATACCTTCTATATACTAATATGAAAATTCCAAATCACAGCTTCGTGTTTTCTTCTTATCCCCTAGAGTGCTAGAGATGGGCTCCGTCGCGTAACAGGGATCTTATCAACCAATTAAACTATTAGGATTTCTTGAATTTGATTCAATATTTATATTTATTCTTTAATATAAAAGTCAATCAATATTTTTCTATATCAAATTTCGAGTATTATTATATATACTAATTTCAATCTTTAGTTTTTTTTTTCAATTATAAAAAATCTAAATTTGAAATCAATATTTATATTATACATAGTATAACTAAAAATTATTAAAATATTTATTCTATTCAATAAGACTTTATTATTCAAGGTATATTACCACACATCATTTTCGGAGCCCATCTCTAACACTCTAGGGGATAGTTATAGTTATAGATAAATATCTATCTATCTATCTATAACTATATTTCGATTTTTAATTTTTTTTAACTCAATTTTATTTAATCTAACTAAGTCGATTTAACTTATTAAATTAAATATATTATATATATATATTATATATCTATTTTATTTATAGCTGTATATATACTAACTATTATTAACTAAACCTTATTTATTTATTTATTTTCATTTCAAAAATTATTATATTAATCTATTTTCAAATCCTAAAATCTTTACAATTTATAAATAAAATTCTTTTGATTTTAAAATATAAAATTATTTATATAAATTTTCAATATAATAAAATATAATATAATTTTAATATTTTTTAATTTTTTAATAATTTAAAAAAACAAAATTTTATTATTAAATTTTATAAGATTAAATAAAATAAAATAAAATATTAAAAAAATTATTTTTTTATATTTATTTATTTATTTTATTTTATTAATTAATTAACAAATAAATCTAATTATATTTAAAATGTTTTTTTTAATTAATAAAATATTTTTTTTTAAAAAAAATCATTTTTATTTATTTTTATTTATTTTTATTTATTTTTATTTATTTTTATTTATTTTTATTTATTTTTATTTATTTTTATTTATTTTTATTCATTTTTATTCATTTTTTTTATTTTTTTTTTTTATTTTTTTATTTTTTTTTTTTAATTTTTTTTATATAAAAAATTATATAAAATAAATCAATTAATATAAAAAAATATAAAAAAATATATATATATATTATATTATATTTTATAAAAAAGAAATTTATAAATATAAATAATAAATTTTAATATTAAAATATAAAAATACATTTCGATTAATAATAATTAATACTTATTATATCTATTTACTAATTAAAATAAATATCTATTCAAATTAACTCTTTTTTATATCTTTCTTTTCTTCTTTCTACTTTTCAATTAATATACTATTACTATTACTATTACTATTACTATTACTATTACTATTACTAGTTACTATTACTATTACTAGTACTATTACTATTACTATTACTACTATTACTATTACTATCACTATTACTATCACAATTACTATACGAAAACATCGAATCAAGAATTAACCCTTATCACTATACCCTATAAGTAAGATAGAAAAGAGCATAGATACAAAATCAAAAGGCAGAGATAAAGAAATGAGATAGAAAGAAAAATAAAAATGTATTATGTATCTTCTTCCTCTTCCTCCTCCTCTTCCTCCTCCTCTCCCTTTTCATCCCCCCCTCTCCCCTCTTCATCCCTTGATTCTACTATTTGATCCCTCCACCATCCACACATCCACCCTCCACACATCAATCTTCCATCCCTACTTCCCCCCTCCCTCCCCTCCCATCCAAACAACTACCTAACTAATATATAGCGATCGAAGAAACACACACACATACACACACCCATAAATATGCACGCCTATACCCCATAAAAATCAGAAAAAAATCCCACTATACCTCATTTCACTCTCCATTTCACACCCTTTCCACATCAATCCCCCTTCACATCCCCAATAAAAATCCAAAAGAGGAAGAAGATAACTCTCACAAAATAAGCTATCATTATCATTGCCATTGCCAGTATGTCATAATAAACCTAAAAACCTCAAACCTGATAATCAGAAGAAGAAAAAAAACACAATACTAAAATCGCAAAAGATATTTTTTATAACGCTCAATCAACACAATCCTATTTCACTCCCCCCCAAAATGAATCCCACGTAACCCAATATAGTAAAATCAACTCAATTCATACCAATCAAACTCCCACTCCTCCATTCCTTCAAAATAAGGAAATGTGTCAATGAGGAGACTTCTCATTCATTAATCTATCCATTGATGCAATCCCTAGTGAACCTTTCATTTCAATGCTCAACTACCGCACACCATTAATTCCAAGCACCAGGATGTCTCTCAACGACTTGAACCCAACTATTCTGAGGCTGCGCTCCAAATTGTGGAACATTCCAAGGTTGAGATACATCATTAAATGATTGTGTAAAGTTTTCCATGGTGTTTGTATTCATTGAAATACTTTCCAAATCATCAATCCATGCATCAAAAGGTAAGATGCTAGCATTCGGATCTCTATTCCATCCTGCTTGAGTGACTGGCGGTGCCATATTATGAGGTTGATGAGCCATTGGAGGATGATATTGCCCCATTTGCTGGATTTGATTATAACTTTGAGCTTGTCCTTGATTGCTATAGGGAGAATTGATACTTGATGCTGAATCACCATTCCCTGGACTAATCAAGCTAGGTGGATTCGAGTTTTGATTAGGACTTGGTTGATAAGCTCCATTTGGTATATAAGGTCCACCGGGACCTTGTTGCATCTCCATGCTCATATTGTTATTTGAGGCATTGATTGGTGCCCAATTGGAAGGTGGTCTTGATCCACTTCCTTCGACACCTTGCATTGGCTCGCCATTAGGATTGTTAGGAGCCGTAGTGGAACCAAGATCGCTGGTGCTGCATCGAGAGTTGCGATTTGGATAATCATCAGAATGAGAATCACCTCCAGCAGTATCTTCCAGGGTACCAAATTCCTTCAAGTCTTTCTCGAAAACCTTCCACTCATCCAATCCACCACCTTTCCATGAAACATCTTTCTTGTATCGCTTGAATTCATTCTTCACCACTTTATAATATTTCATCATCTGTTCGATTCTTTTATGGTAAGCTTTAGCCATGGTTAACCTTGGCACCATATCTTTCAGAATCTTGATGGGTAAAGCGGATCGACTTTCACCCATATAATCGTTGGGATCCATTTGTGGGAAGTGAACAGAGTAAACACCTGTAAACGCTGAATGGAAAAGAGCGAATACAAATAACGGCGATTCTGGCAAAGCATTATTGTCCTGACACGTTCTCATAATATCAACAATATCTCGGGCCGATGAGAAAAGTGAGTCGGCACTCTGTTCCCAAAATCCTTCGGGTATGTCAAATTTCTCCTTGGGAAATGTTGGTTCATCCAAAGGACCTGAAGGCTTATCAGCTCGAAGAGGAATGAAAGGTATATATTCTCTGTGGAGCATGATTCGACACAAGGAGACAAGAGTATGCAAACTTGCATACGTCGTAGCATTTCGTTTTTCCAAATGTGCATTCAGGTTGTCCTCGGAAAAGGTAAGGTTCTCTGGCAAGGCGCTATAGAAATCTTCCAATTCATGTGAAAGTTTGTAGAATTGTGTTGATTCATCCCATGGTGGTAGGGTTTCAGTTCGGCGACCTCCATGAAGACTCCACTTTGAAAGTTTACCCCAAATTTCAACCAAACGACAATACCTGCTGAGGACTCCACCTTCTTGAATTTTGACATTTGACAAGGTAGCTTTCTCAAAATCTCGATTCAAGTAACCAGTTTGGACCGATTGAGTGAACAAGAATTGATCATCAGAACACGGTAATTGTACTCGGAGAGTATCCGACTCAACCATCGTCGGTCTAGCCTTTCCAGCGGAAAGCATCCGATCCATGATAAAGCAACTCCAAAATGTACGTCTCCTAACTTCCTTCTCAATCGCAGTATCACGTGCTGGACTCTTGTTCACCTCTGGTCGGTAAGAACTTGCGGTGGTTACCGTTTCAGGCTTGAACGTTCTAGCCGATGGATCATCCTCGTAGGGTAGACCCATTGCTTGTGCGAGTCTGGTCGCAATACCTACGTACACCCAAGCGCTAAGGCCTCTTGTTTGACCCCACTCATAAAGACCAAGCATCAAGAGTGCCTGGATCCTTTCGGTGGTAGGAGTGCTGAGATCTTTACCCGCAGCTCCAAAAATGGTCGAGGTTAAAGCGGTTGCGTAGTAATCGCTTGCAGCCAATGGGTCATTTGGTCGAGGGGAATTTGCCGGTGCATGATATGCGACTAACTCGGGATGGAATCGGGCAGTCAGAGTAAGTACACCTAGCAATAAAATCTTGGCATCTTGAAAGG